ATACATAAAAGAAAGACCACAACAATGTTTTTTCATTTTCTTCAGTTTGTTTGTATTTTTGTTAACAAACATAATAATAAAAAAAATGTTCATTGTGGTAAACGAAAAAATAATTTGATCTAAGTAAGAGTTTTTTCTTCCCGGTTTGTAAAAAGTCCTTTCGTGATATAAAAAAAAGAATAATATTTTCGAAATCTGCGTAGCTGAATTATGGAAAATCCGTTATTAAAACCAAAACAACTTTTATGAAGTTTAAATTCGCAGGCCTGTGTTATTTTATAATCCAATTGACAAGACGAATTATTTTTCTCTACCCTGTTTCTTACTATACAATCTGCGATAAATACGCTTACGTTTCTTCGTGGTTTACCACAGTCGCATCTCGAACTTTAAATAGTTGTCACCTTTTCGTCAAAGTACACACAGACAGGTTCAATCGCTTTAGAACATATTTTAACAAGACAAATTATTCTTCTTATCTCTATTAAACCATGAAGCGCACTCTAAAAATATCGACCGTTACGGCTAATCACTCACGCGCCAGCTAACGTTACGTTTTCTAACTTTTTTTCTGACTGAACTTTATTTGACTAGCGCTCGCCGGGTCGCCTATATTTATATATTGTTACGTCTCTGTTCTTGAAATTCTTGCTGAGAAACTTCAGCGATACAAGTCCTTTCTTAAATAAAACTAGTTTATTCTTTCTCAATTCAACTTTACAATACACTTAATTTCTACAGTCACTTTAACTTAAACACACGCTACAATTCACAAAGATTTACACACTTTTATTACGGCTTGACTCGATATTCGTCTCTATCTCTGCCTGTCTGCAATTCTATTATTTATGCCGTCACTTCTCGCCGGTCTTATATATATATACAAAATAGAGGGCGTCTAGCAAACACTCGAGCCTTCAGGAACGTTCGAGATACTCATTACGTATTACCAGCGTCGCGAGACTTCCGCTGTCGTAACACTGCCACTTCCTTAGTATTGTTCGTCCCGAACAATAGTCA